TAAAAATCTCTCTAGTTAGAAAGAGTTTAGAGGGAGAATTTGAAAGTTTTAAACAAACAGTTAAACCAGTAGTTTAGGTGCAAAGGTGAAAGATTTTCATCAAGAATGGGAATCATAAAAACATCAGAAATTTAAAAATGAACAATTTCACAAATGTATTTACTTCTTTTTATTTTATCTATAAAAAATCATTCTTTAAAATTCTTTGAAATGGATTCTTTAAAAATCATTCTTCTTTATATATTTTAAATGAATCATTGGTAAACAGCAACAAATATTTTAATATAATGTTTTTGAATAATGAACTTTTTAAAAGAATTACAAAATTACAAACATGTCTAGAAAATAATTTTTAAACAAAGTTTAATGTAATATTATTATTTTCATTATTATTATTACATTTTTAAAAGCTTTAGCAAAATTAAAAAAAAAAAATGAAGTGTATCTTTTTCCCTTATTATTATTATTGTGTATTATTTAAACACTCCATGACCTTTGACCTCTAACATCACTTCGAGGTGTGGCTCACGGTCCGGTGATAGCAGGTGTGATTGGAGCCACCAAACCTCAGTACGACATCTGGGGGATGACGGTGAACATGGCGAGCAGGATGGAGAGCACCGGTGTGAGCGGGCGGATACAGGTGAGCTCACCTGTTTGCAGAAACATGAGGTCATCACTTCAACAGGTTTTTAAATGTCGTCCTTTGTGTTTAGGTCTCAGAACACACCAGCTCTATTCTGGTTGAACGAGGCTTTCTGAGGCAGCTCAGAGGGGACGTTTATCTCAAAGGGATTAGTGAACGCCACGGAAAGGTGAGCCATCATCATCATGTGACCACACACATGACCTAAAGATCTAAACTATGAGATTTAGGTGCAGGTATGAACAAATGAGTTTGAAAATAGTTACATTTAACATAAAATTAACATAACGTAACATAACATAAAAAAACTGCATTTTAACTTGGAGGGTTTATATTTAAACAAAAAAGTATATATCAAGAGTATGACAAAAAATTTGGAATTTTTATCATATACAAATCAAAAGAAGTCAAAAAGGTTACAAAAATGTATGACACAATTGTGCAGGAAAAGTGTGTCATACATTTTTGTAAAATTTGCCTAACACAAGGAGATCATTTTTATACATTTTTACCCCAAAAATATAAACAGAACTTTTCATAAACATGAGAAAAATATTTCAGATAAGAAAAATATCATGTTTAATGTATTAGTTACATAAACTGTACACACCACTGATCAAAGTGTTTTCCCTTCAGGTTCGAACATACTTCGTGAGCAGTCGGGAGGAGCGATCCAGCTTCATAGAGCGTGGTGGGGGGCGGGGCTTCAGCCTCAATAGGAACACACTGGGAGCTGTGGTCTACAGTTTGGTTCAAGCCCAGAAAAGGGAGAAAATGAGGGAGGAGAACGGAGGCTTCCACCTGGTGGAGGCGTCGTGAGGAGGAAAAAAAGGTTTGGTTTTCAGGTTTAAAAGGTAAAACTGTCAACATTTGTGAAAGCTGAAATGTTGAAGGGGGTAAGGAGTTTGAACATTCATCTGCATCATCTTAAAGTAAAGGAAAGATCAGTAATGATGGTGATGGATTGTCGTACTTTTGCTCTGTGTTTTGGAACAAACAGCTCCTGTGGTGCTTTGCGGAGCAAAGCTAACAACATGGAATCATGGATGTGCAGGTTAAACATCACTAATCACTGAGACACTGAAGGAAAGTTAAAAGTAGACAGATTCTCAGGGGACCTCTCATGTGTCTGTTTCTCTGGTTTCTAAGTGGATTCCTGAAGGTTTATTCTGGATATTCAAGCAGCCTTCCTTTATAAGACTCGTCATTCTGCCAAGACTTTGATGCAGAAAAACATTCATGTTTTATTTTATGTGTTTGTGTAGGTTTGATTTCCTCATATGAAACTATGGGTTTTAAGTCAATACAAGATTATAGTTACATTTTTAACACAACATGTAACTTTTTACAAAACATATTTGTAAAAAGATTTTATCAAAGTGTGAAGAATTTTCTTATATTTCTTATATTAAGCATTTATTTACTGTGTTTTTATTCTTGCTGTTAAAGGTTTCAAACTCTTCTAGCAATTTTTTTAAAAATTGTCATAATTTCGTCTGACCACCAGATGGCGCCAAGTGCAGGACCAAAAACATTTCCGGATCAAAGCACTTTACATTTAGATATTTTAGATTTGTGG